CTACGGACTCAAGCTGTGGGTGGCGTGCGACGCGCGCTCGAGCTACGCGTGGCGCGTGCAAGCCTACGCGGGCAAACACGACACCGGCGTCGAACGGAACCTGTCGGAGCGCGTGGTCATGGACCTGACCGAGGGTCTGAGCGCGGGCACCCTCGTGACCACCGACAACTTTTTCACCTCGCCGCGGCTGGCCGAGAGGCTGGCCGGCGAACGCGGCGTSTACCTGCTGGGCACGATGCGAGCCAACCGCGCCCCGAGAGACCTGCCGCGAGCGCTGCTGCTGAACGCCGACGCGACCCGCTACGCCTTCAAGCGCGACGTCTGCGTCGTGTCGTACGCGCGCCGAGGCGCCAAAAAGAAGAACGTGCTGCTGCTGACGAGCGCGCCCGAGCTGATGAGGACCGACCACGACGACGACGACAAGCCGCTCGCGCTGCGGCGCTACAACGCTACCAAGGGCGGCGTCGACAACCTCGACAAGGTCACGGCCGCGTACAGCGTGCGCAGGAGAACGCTCCGGTGGCCCATGGCGCTCTTCCACAACATCCTCGACGTGTCCGCGTACAACGCGTTCGTGGTGTGGCGCGAACTGCGACCCGACTGGCTGCCGGGCAAACGCGACCGTCGCAGACGGTTCATGGAACAGCTGGGGCTGGAGCTGACGGAGGCCGCGCGGGGCGGACGAGAACAACAACGACATCCTCCTCCTCCTCCTCGTCCTCGCGTCGACGATAAACGCAGCAGCAGGCCGCGGTGCAGCGTGTGCCCTCGATCCAGAGACGTTAAAACGCGCGCGAGTTGCGCGCGTTGCGCCTCGCCGATATGCCTGGGCTGCGCCGCGTTGCTCTGTCCCTCGTGTTGCCCACGCGGCGGGGATGACGCGTAGGCAACAACAACAATTTGTCTTTTAGAATAATATATCTTTTTTTTTTAATTTCATCTTTCGCTTACCCCTCTTCACAAACCAACAAACAATCACTCGCCGATATTTTACAACGTTATTTTTATTTTTCATGAGACACACGCGCACAAAATACAACAATTGGGATATATTTTTTTTCCACACACTCGTGAATTAAAAAAAAAGTACAAAAAAAACCGAGGGTTGTTGTTGTTTTTTTTTGTCCTCGTTACAGGTCGTTAGCGAGCGTATCCAGCATCAGCCTATTCCGCGCATCTTCGTCGTCGTCGTCGTGGCCGGTCTCCTCCTCCGCGCACAACCAGCACTCGCGACCCGTTTCGTCTTCTTCGTCGGAGAAGAGAAACCCCACCGGCGTCGATACCGTCAGCAGCATCGCGCGCCCGCACACGGGACAGTTGTCTCGCACTTGCGCTCTCGCGGGCGCTCGGTGTCGGTCTTGTTCTCGGCGGAGGAGGTCTTGTTCTCGTTGTTGTTGTTGTTGTTGTCGTTGTACTAGTAGTACGGCGGCGGCATTCTTTTTCTCCCGCTCCTGCTGTTTCGCTCGTTTCCGTTGTCGTTCTTGTTCTCGGCAGAGGTATTCTTCTTCTTCTTCTTCTTCTTGTTGTTGTAGTACCGCGGCGGCATTCTTTTTCTCCCGCTCCGCCTCCTGTTTCGCTCGTTTCCGAGTCATAACATAGTTTCGTACGGCGTCCGTCAGGAGGAGGTCGCGGCGTCGGTGGTGGTGTTGGTTCATCGCGGTCGTGTGTATTTTCCTTCGATTTTCTGTCTGTTTGTTTACGCGTAAGTATATCATAGTCTGTTGTTGTTGTCGTCGTTGTTGTTGGCGGCGCACGACGGGCACACGTTTCGCTTGCAGGGATCCGGGCGCGGGCAGGATTCGACCGTGACGATCGTGAAATTCCGGCAGACCCCGCATACAAACTCGTAGGTCCCCGGGTAGACCAGATTCTTTTCTCGCTCGAGACGTTCTCTGGCCTGCGCGATTTTATCCGGTTTGACGCGCTTCCCGCGCTGCTTTCTCGCGAGAACGTCCATGAAGATGATGATTCTTCTTCGTCTTCTTCTTAGCGACTCTATWTACTATGCGACTTTGAAAGAACCGCGTTTATATATACTACACGGGTACTCGTACTGGAAAAAAATCCGACCGATCGATCGGTCGGTCGGATACACACGCGCGAGCGTCCCCTCATTTTGAGTGAACAACAACAACAACAACAACAACAACAACAACAACAACAACAACAACGACGCTTGTGTTATAATAATATCTTTATTGGATAGCGGGTGTTTGTTTTGTTTTTAATATAAATAAATAATTCCCAGCGTTACAACGACGCGACAAACTCGCGAACGCGATCCATCGCGGCCTCGCGTTTCTCCGCGTCGTTCTCAAAGTCCTCGTCTCCGTCCAGAATCAAAACGGGCGTCGTCGGCTTCCCGCAAACGAGCCACGCTTCGTGCTTCGCGTGGAGCTGCTCCAGGTACTCCATCTCCACCCCTCGCTCCTCGGAACGACCGCGGCGCTCCAATCGCTGCGCGCAACGCTCGGGGCTCGCTCGCACGTACACGATGCCGTCGAGGCGCAGCTCGGGCTCGAAGCGCTCCAAGAGCCACGCGTGCCAGTCGCTGTACACGCGCCACTCGGTGTCGTTCAACGCCCCGCGTTCGTGCAGCGCGCTCGCAAACACCCGCGCGTCCGAATACACCGAGCGCTCGAACACGCGCACCGCCTCGTCGTCGACCGCCCGGGCGGTCTGAGCGCGGATCCTGCTCAGGCACGCGTACGCCTGGAACGTGTAGGCCCAGCGCCTCGGGTCCTCGTACAGCGAGAGCAGCAGGTTCCCTCCGCCGCGCCACTCCGACACCGGCTCGGGGATCGTGCGCCAGCGCGGGTCCGTCGTCTCCGACAAGATCCGCAGCAGCGTCGATTTACCCGCCGCGATGTTGCCCTCCACCGAGATCCGTTTCATCATCATCATCTCGGTCGTTTTTCTTCTTCCTCTCCTCCCGTCGCCTCTCTATATACACGCGCGTGTGACACGCCCACCCGCCAACGCAAAAAAAACCACGTAAACAACAAATTCGTTGTTGTTAACTCAAGCAGGTCCCGGAAGGGAGTTGGACGCGGTGCTCGACAACCAACCTCTCTTCTCCGCGTTCGAGAACATCTTTTCTAACGGTCGTCGCCTTGGACCTTGTCGTTTTGTTGTCCACGAACGGAGTAATAATAAATGTATACATATGTTTTTGAAGAGACGCGAGGTGTGTGTGTGTGTGTGTGTGTGTGTGTGTGTGTGTGTGTGTGTGTGTGTGTGTG